GGGGGGGGGGGGGGGGGGGGGGGGGGGGGGGGGGGGGGGGGGGGGGGGGGGGGGGGGAGGAGAGGGGTAGGGCGCAAACCGACCGCAACCGACCGGAGAGGCAGTGCGACGAGCCGGTGTGCTGAGCACCGCCCGCTCTGCGACGCATCGGCGCTGCGCCGCTGAGCGCTAGTGCAGGCGAACCGAAGGCTTTGTCGGTGCAGAGGAGGGGGGCAATTCCAACCTGTCGCGGGGACCCGCCAGGCTGCTCCGCTGGGGCGGGGGCACGAACACCGCAGTTGGCACTGCAGAGCCGGCAAGGGCCCGGGCACTGCCCTCCTGCCGTGCGCAGGCGGCACAGCCACTGCACCAGCAGCAGCAGCAGCAGCAGCAGCAGCAGCAGCAGCAGCAGTGCACCGCGAGTCTCTGCCTGCCTGCCTCCCTCTGCCTCCCTCTGCCTCGCTCGCTCACTCGCACGAGACACTAGTCCCCCCTGCTTCCCCCACCAAGGCAACGCAGCGCTGCCCAGGCACCGCCGTGGTCCGTCCCCAGATCGCCACACCCACGTCTCGACGACGAGGTGGCGCACGCCCACTGAGCATTAGTGCCCGCGCATTCCCGCGCATCCCCGCGCATCCCCGCGCTCGACATCCACTAGACGACAAATTCCTTCCCCGACAAATGAGATCACCGGACGGGACGAGCGTTCGCGGTATGGCGGAGCGGTCGCCGTTCGTCGGGAGTTGCTTGTCGTCTTCGTCGCTGACAACCAGCCAAGCGCTAGGCGAAGACGAAGACAGCTACTGCCGGCGCAACATGACTTTGTCGTGTGAGAATCGTGTTCACATCAGCGAGCACTGGCATCAGGGAAGGAGTCGGTCAGATTCCTGTTCTTCTTCAACGTGTGCAGATCCGATCAGCAGTAGATCGACGGCAATCAGGAATCACAGTGATGGCGGAGTAGTAGTAGGGACGGGCGCTGGTGTGGTGACACCGAGCCTGAGAACGAGCCAGTTACGCAAAGCCAGGCAGAGGCAGAGGAGGGAGGAAGGACGGAGGAGTGCGACGAGGGGAGTAGGGGGGGGGGGGGGGCAGGTCCTGCCTCTCTCTGCTGCTGCTGCTGCTGCTGCTGCTGGTCCTCCTCCTCCTCCTCCTCCTCCTCCTCCTCCTCCTCGTGCTCCTGCTCGTGTTCTTCATGCTCCTCTTTGTCCTTGTCTGCTTGCCTGAGGGTATTGGCCTCTGCTCTTCTGGCCTGAGCTGCCGAGCGGAGGGCCGAGAACCGTCCGATTGAATCGAAAAGCGAGCGGGATAGTTGTCGTTTTCTGAGAAGCAAATTTGCCTTCGTCGTCGTTCTAGACGTTTTTTGGCGACATCGACGGTCGGTGTACCCCTGCCTCCTCCTCGGCCTCCTCGGCCTCCTCGGCCTCCTCCTCCCTCTCCCCGTCCGTCCCGGTTGTTGTGGAAAAGGCGGGGGGGAGGGAGGGGAGGGTTCCCTTGGTTTGGGAGGCGATATGGAATTAGGACAGTGTGTAAGTGCATGTAACAACGCTTCCTTGTTGTTAATCTCTTCTTCCTCCTCCTTTCGATCTCAGACTGGTGAGTTCAGCAGCCGCTGCTACGATCAGTGTTACGAGGAGGCGGGATGGTCTATGCCCCAGACGACCACTCGTCGAGCGGCTCCCATAGTCGCAGCGGGCGTGCTGCTGGTCGTCGCTGCGCTGGTATCGCTGGCAACGTCAGCATTGCTCACTCTTGACACTTGTAGGTTGCGCGCGATCGTAGACGGTGAGGACGAAGACTGGCTGAGGAGGAAGCGCGCGCGGGCGCTGACGGAGCTGCGCGGGCGGGGCAGTTATCCTCTCTGCGCGCTGCTGATCGCGGGTTCGGCGGCGACGACGGGCACCGTGGCGCTGCTCCTTGCCGGCACGGGCAACCTGATCCTGGGGTACTTCATCTCGTGGGTGCTGGTGTTCTTCTGCGCGGAGTTGATTCCGCCGGCGCTCTCTTCGGTTGACCCGCTGGCGGTGGCAGCGCATACTTCATGGCTTACCCGCCTGCTGACGTGGGTCATGGTCCCCTTCGCGTGGCCCATCAGCTACGTGTTAGATCGGTGTTTGACACGTGGCATCCGGGGCGATGGAGGGGAATTCTCCCCGGGATGGAGTGGCGGGATAAGGGGTGACCCCTGGAATGTGGGGCTGGGGTTGAGCGGAGAGAAGGTTGGGGGGGGGGGGAAAGGGCAAGGGCAAGGGAGGGAGCGGGCAGGGCAGGAGGGGTCGGCTGGTTCAGATGCGCCATCGCTCGGGCGGAAGCAGCAGCGGGTTGAACCCGGGGAACAGCAGTACTCGTCGTCCTTCCCTGCGCAGCGGACGGGGCCCCAGGAGGGCATCGATGGGGGCAATCATGGCCTTGGTCGTCATTCTCGAGGAGGATCCGGCGGCGGCGAAGGAGAGAGCTGCGCGGATGATGGGGTTGATTTGCAGGGTAATCGCCGAACAGCATTGCGGGGGAATGGGGGAGGGGGGGGGATTGCACTCGGATGTGAGCTGGATGAGACAACGTCGCCGATTTGCGCCAAGCGACTGAATCTGGTCGCATTCGCGGCGATTGTGAAGTCCGAGGACGAGGAAGACGAGGAGCTCGGGGGATCGCGGAGGTGGGGGGGGGGGCAGGGGGGGAGCAGCAGCAGCCGGGATACCGCCCCGCCATCGCTCCCCTCAGCTCTCTCGCTCTCGAGACCTGCGGTGGAGAAAGAGGACCGGCGCCTCTCCGACGACTTCCTGGGGAGGCGACTGTCAGGAGGAGGCAGCGGCAGTTTCGGCGGTGGTCAGGCAAAGCTCATCAAATCGGAAATGGATATCGGTATCGCGATGGCGCGCAGCGACCGCGGATCCGGCTTTCCCATGGATTCTTGTTCTCCTATGGAAGGGATGGTTTGCGGCGATTTCCAGAGGAATAGAGTGGAGCGGAGTATGAGTCTTTCTCGGGTGAAGGAGGTGGAGGAAGAGGATGGGGAGAGGAGCGAAGGAGCGGTGTCCTCTGGAGGAGGACTAGAGCGCAGACGCAGTGGTCGCCTGAAGGGAGAACTTCAAGGAGGTCATAAGCAGGCGAGGGGGCACAGTGATACTGAGAGCAGCGATGGCGATATGGTGGATGTGGAGATCGGCGATGATCAATCGTGGTTAGATGCTGAGGGTGGAGGAGAGAGTGGTAGCGGGTACCTTGTGGAGGTGAAGGTTGCCGCCGGACACTCAGGGAGCAAAATGAGTGAATTTGGGAAGGAAAGAAATTGGGAGGAGGAGGGGGAGGGGAAAAGGCATTCTACGAGCGCCGGTTCAAATAACTTCTTTGAACGCCGCCAGAGCAGCGGCAGCAGGAGCAGCAGCAGCAGCAGCGGGGAGGTGATCGCCGGCGGAGAGCACGAGGACGCGCGGCGTTGTTCGGCGGAGGCTGGGCAAAGAAGGGAAGACGCCCGCGGAGCCGGCGGGTCCGAAGGCGATGCTGCTGGCGCGGGGGGGGGCGGCGCGCTTGGGCTGGACAAAGTCTTGCCTCCCATCCGATTAGCCGCGGCGGCTATCGTAGCGGTAGCTTCCGCCGCGATCGGCGGAATGACGCGGAGGTACATTGGCAGCAGTAGAGCAGAAGAGAGCACAGTCCCCCGCATCGCGGCGCAGGAAGCTTGTGCGGATGTTGTGGTTTGTGTGCGGGAGGAAGGAGAAGAAGCAGACGCAGAGACAGGAGTCGCGGTGTCAGCAGAAGAGTGTCGTTCGACGGAGGCCGTTGACAGAGTGGCAATCATGCCGGTGAGCCTGGGGATGGAGGACGATGCGATCATCGTGGAGGTTGCCGCACTGGATCCCGACGATAGGTCGGGGACGGTTGTGATCGTGTTTGAGGAAGACGAGAGGAGAGGAGGAATGGCTTCTGTGGCGGCTGCTGCTTCTGTTTGGGTAGACGGTAGGAGAGGAGGAGAGGAAGAGGAGGGACGTGGGGAAGTGGGGGAGGAGGAGGGGGGGGGGTCGTGGACGCGGGGGAGCAGCACAGTCACTGAAGCGTGCAGTGCGCGGGAAGTGGGGAGTAGCCCGGTGATGGGTGTGGAGGGGGTGATGGGAGACGAGTGGTCGGTGGTAAAGCGGATCGATACGAGGGTGGGAGGAGGTGGGGAAGGGAGTAGCTGTAGCGGTAGGGAGCTGAGCGCGCGGGGACTGAAGGCGATGCTGAGCGGCGCTGAGAATGTCAAGGGGGTGAAGATCGCGACTTGCGCGGACTTGAGCGCCGCGGGCGTCGACTGTACACAGCCGTCGCCCACGTCGCCGTTGGATCCGCTCCTAGACGAGCGGGAGGACAGCGGCGGAGAATCTGACGGGGGAAAAGGACTGGGGAGAGAGGAGGAAAACGCTTTGGCGGCGGCAATGCAGCAAGAAGAGCAACGGTTCGCTCGGGCGCTGGCCCGCGGGGGAGCCTCGACGGAAGCGGCGCGGGGAAGAGCGGGGAGAAAGGATGGTGGCGCGCTCCCCCGCGCTTGTCGGCGCAAGTCGCGATCGAGATCGAGGGCCTTCACGATGTCCAACGGCGACGCGTCGTCCATGGATCTCGGCTCGGGCAAGGTGATTGCGCCCGCGGGCTCGGCGCGCATCGGACGGCCCGGGATGGCCCGGAGAAGTCTGTCCATCTCGGGGGCGACCACTGCCACGTTGCCCAGATCCCCCCCTAGCTGTGCCTCAGCGAGCCAATGTGAATGCGGCCGCGGGCTCGGCGCGCATTGGACCCCTAGCTTGTGCCTCAGTGAGAACAGTCACGGGGAGGAGTCGTGCATTCCAGAGTCCTACCTGGATTCCGACGACGATTGCTTCTCGCTGAAGGTTCCCAGCGCGTCGATGGAAAATTTGGACCTGCTGCTTCTTGATCCGCCGACGAGGGGCGCGCACGGCAGCGCGGCGACGACGGTCATTGTGAATCTCCCCGAGAAGAACGTACTCGATTCATGGGGGGAGATCGAGACTGGCGGGGGTGGTGGCCCTCATGGTGGCGAGGGGGAGGGAGGGGAGAGAGCAAGGGGGGGGGGAGGGGGCGTGCGCGGATCATCGCCGTGGCGGGGGCAAGAGATGGGGGGCGCAGGCGAGGGGGGGGGGGTGGGGGAAAATTGGCAGGCAGCGGCACGGAGAAGGGCTGGACTGCGACGGTGGGAGAAGGGTGAACCGGCCGCGGCGGCTGTTGATGGCCGTCGACACCGACGGCATTGCGAGTCGTCGGAAGCACGCAGAGGGAGAGGACGTGAGAGAGCCGCCTCCGAAGAGGGGAGGAGGAGGAGCAGGAGTGCCCTGTCCATTCCGTCGAGATTACCCTCACCCGTTGGTCGTCGATTGGCGCCGAAGAAGTCGAAGGAGTCCTTGAGACGAACAGTCAATCTGTCGAAGTCCTCCTCCGCGCTGCGGGCCGTGCGACAGCTGGCAGATTGGGGCCGGATCCGATCGGTATCGGGACAGAAGGGCATTCAATTTGGCGGCGGCGACCTGTCAAGAGCGGTGGGGCAACTGAGGGAGGAGGAGGGGGGGCAGAAGGCGAGAAGCGGACGCGGGGCGAGCACCCAGAGGAGTAGGAAGGAGAGGAACGAGAGGAGAAGAGAGTGCGGAAGTCCCAAGGGTTGCTGGCTGACGTCGATGGATGTAGAGAGAGACGTGAGGAGCGAGAGAGGATCGCGGCGTGGGGAATCGTCGAGGGTGGAACACGACCCATGGACAGCGGAGAGGTTGTACGTAGTAGGGGCGAGGAGCGGGAGATGGGATGAGCTGGGGATTGTTGAAAGCAGGGGGAACGTGGAGCGGGAGGAGGGGGAGGAGGAGGAGGAGGAGGAAAAGGAGGGGAGAAGAAGGAAGGCGAGGGAGAGAGAGAGGGTGCGATCGCAGACGGATTCGGAGCGAGGAGTGTCTTCCTCCACTACGTGGAGGCGAGAGTCTGAAGAGGAATACGATCGGGATCGGAGCGACGACGCGGAACTGGGGAGGAGGAAGGAGGTCGGGATAGCAACCAGACTGACTAAGTCGGGCGCATCGGACGGTGCAAACATGACTTCTTCAGAAGCGACCTTGACGCTCAGCGATTATGAGGAGAAGAAGGTGAGTGGGGGGGGGGATGATGCTGATGCTGATGCTGATGCTGATGCTGATGCTGAAGCTGATGCTGATGCTGAAGCTGATGCTGATGCTGATGCTGATGCTGATGATGCTGATGATGATGCTGATGATGATGATGAAGATGATGATGATGGTGATCGTCAGGACAGCGCGAGTTTGTGTCCCGACATGCGTGATAGAAGAATGCTAGCGTTCGTCGTGTGTAAAGGAGAGGGTTTGGTCGGCGTCGGGGTCGGGGTGCAATCTCATAATGACTGTCAAGCCCCTGCCAGTGCCGCTGATGAGCTGATCGTCGGTATCGCTGCGCAGGTGAATGAAATCGGTTGTGCTGTCGGGCATTCCAGGGCGGGGCCGTTTGCGAGTCCGCTGCTGGAATCAGGTGCGTGGAACAGTTGATCTATCTATCTATCTATCTATCTATCTATCTATCTATCTATCTATCTATCTATCTATCCTGTCGATCAAGCAGGTGGAAACCAGTCGCAATCTACCCATCCTGGCTCTAGTAGCCAAACATATAATCATGATTGAGATTTATGTACATATCTATATACATACATTGCCATCTAACTATCTATCTATCTATCTATCTATCTATCTATCTATATCGTCAAAAACGGAGCTGCCCGGTATATATACACAGACGTGTATATTCATGTAAGGCACACCGTACCTGCTGTATAAGAATGATGCATGTACATAACAGAACCAGTGACACTTGGCAAAGCTCTCAGGGAACCAAAAATAGGCCATGGACGCGGATCCACTAAATGATAAGTGATGTTTTTGAGAAGTCATTGCTTCGCTCCTCTGTTTTTTAGTCAAGTTTTTAGACACCCAAGAATACATACATATAAATACATGTATATTCCTATATCATATATCATATATCATATACATGTATACTCATATATCATATTCGTGTATGTATATAGGGTTCGGCCTCATGATGAGTCGTTGAAAAACAATCTGTCACTGACCCTCGGTTCTTGTCCTTTTCTCCCTTTCTCGTTCATCGGGCAGTTCTATGATGATATATATCGATATGACACACGTGGGCGGCCTTGTACGCAAGAGGTTCTGAACAGGGGGAGTTGTAAGGAAGAAGATAAAAAATGAATTGATATCTTTTTTGTTTTAGTTTTTTCGCTTTTGCGCTCGGATATTTATGTGATGATATATATATCGTCAAACAGAGCTGCCCGGTAAACCGTAGGCTAAGAGGGAGAATAGGACAACAAACGAGGGCCTTAACATATATATATATCGGGGCCGTTACTAGGCGGCGTGCTGTGCCCCTAGTGCCAGCGGCGTGTCTGGAGTGTATTTTTTGGCTGTGACAGACCTTTCTTTGTTTCGTGGATGTTTTGCTGGCTTGTGATGGGGTGTGAACCGACAGTCTGTAGAGTTTTCCATCTGGTGTGGGTGAGTGGTAGTCTACTTTGATTTTGGTTAAGGTAGATTATCATTTACAGTGTAATCAGTGAGGGGATTCTGCAGACTGTTGAGGGTTCAGCCTCCTGATGAGTCGGTGAAACTCCGACGAAACAGTTTGTCACAGCCCCTCGTTTGTTGTCCTCTTCTTTCTCTCTGCCTACGGTTTACCGGGCAGTTCTGTTTGTGACGATATATATATACATATATATATATATATACACACTCGTCCTTTGCGTAGTTGTGATTGCATGTGATTTCCTCTGCCTACTTGCGTGCGCACTGCTAAAGAAGCTACTTGGGAGGTGGATTATCGTCTCGTGCTACTGCTTCGATTCTGTGTCTGAGTTCAATCCACTAATTTGGAGAAAATAATAGCGATTAAAAAAAAAAATTGAAAAACAATTAGCCATGCTTGGACTATTGAACTTGGACCATAGATCTTGAACCTTGGACTTGGACCATAGATCTTGAACCTTGAACTTGGACCATAGAAAAACTCAGACTATGGAAATTGTACCAGGAACTTTGGATCATGGAACTTTGGACCTGGAACTTGGACCATGGAACTTTGGATCATGGAACTTTGGACCTGGAACTTGGACCATGGTACTTTGGATCATGGAACTTTGGACCTGGAACTTGGACCATGGAACCTCGTACGCACCGTGGGTCTTGAACCATGAGAGTCTGAACCTAGAGGTTGAATGAGTGCTGCAAACACTCCACTCCAGTAGGAGTAGTAACGTCCTCCTCTCTTTTATTTTTCTTACTCCTTTCCTTTGGCCATTTAACATAACGTTCCTGGTCGCTATTTCGGCGATTGTTTGTTCCCAAATCGCAAGGGCTTACCGGGTGCCCGGCAGTAGAGGACATGATGACGATTTTCGGTGAGAAAACGCTGAAATAGCGGCCAGGCCAGGGATGTCAAAGTTGAAATGCTCAAGACACAGATCACGCTGGGAACTTGTCCGCTTTGATCCTTTGGTTTCTTTGGAGATGTAGCTAATTCATTGGCACAAGAAAAAGACAAAGAAAACAGAAAAGGAAAAATGAGAAAAAAGCGAATTCATCGGCATATGTCTGTCTCAGTGTCAATCGCTATGGAGGATGCTGACGACATTATTGTGCACAGGTTTCAGCGCTGACGTTGATTAGCATGATGGGTGTTGAGGTCAGATTCAGAAGTAGAAGATGCATCTTCGATGGTGTTGAGGTCAGATTCAGAAGTAGAAGAGGCATCTTGGCTGGTGTTGAGGTCAGATTCAGAAGTAGAAGATGCATCTTCGCTGGTGTCGAGTTCAGATTCAGGAGTAGAAGATGCATTTGTTATGGGAAGATTACTGAATAACTAATTGAAAAATGTAAAAAATGAATGAATAAGTTTTTCAATGAAAGGCAAAAACAGAAGTTGAGAGAAGAATATAGAAAGAAAGAAAGAAAAAAAAACTAGGAACAAGAGTATACTAACCATGATGCCTAACTCATTTAACAGTTGGGGTACTGTTTCTACTCGGTGATCCAGGATGGGATGGGCAGGTGTGGGGTTTTGAAAATCAGTAAATAGCTAGATTAATGAAGAAAAAAAAAAACAAGTAAAGACATAAATGGGATAATTTGCAAAATTGAAAATACACCCGTAAGTTGAGGTATATGCCTGCCAAAATGCCCCTGAGAGACGTGAAGAGCGGAATGCCCCTCTGATTAGAAAGAACTTTTGTGACATAATAAATAATAAATAACTAAAAATAAATGAATAAATAGACAAATATTAGTGGTGGTCCGAATCGAGTGCTATAGAAAGCACCTGATAATTAATGTATACATGCTGTGTTTCCGGTCCGGTACAATCATAATGAGGGTGCGTTGCATTCGCGGGAAGAGGCTAGGATAATGGGAGCATCCGCTGTTTATTGTCATTCTTCTCTTTTATATATACATACATATTATATGTATTGTCATTCCTTAGCTTATATACCTAAAATGCTCTTTCTCCCTCCCACAAGCTTGCAATTTTTTTATTTTTTATTTTTTTTTGGATACAAGCTTGTAATTTTCCTGAGCTTCAGTGACCCTGCTGTCCACGTCATCATCTT